ATAATAATAATAATAATAATAATAATAATAATAATAATAATGATAATAACAATAATAATAATAATAGAGGTATTGTTGTTGTTGTTGTTGTTTAATACAGAGTCATAATTCTAATAATAATAATAGAGGTATTGTTGTTGTTATTGTTTAATACAAAGTCATAATTCATAGTTACAAGGTTGATAAGAGGTGTATGAAAAAATAAATAGTCTGATGTTGCATAGATGCAAATATGTGTGTCGTCATCTGCCATGGATGGAAGGACTAGAAATCTTTGCCTTAAAATTAGTGTAGCTGACATGAAACACCAACACCAGCACCAGATTGAAAGAAATGGAAAGGTGGAATTTCATGTGACATTTAATATTTTAAGTATGAAATTTTCAATGAAAAACATTTGAAATAAAGTATCAAGGATTCCAAAGTGGCTAACTTAAATGTCGCATCCTTAGTGTGCTTTTTTTTTTTTTTTTGGTGAGTCAGTGGGGAGAGCACTCATCTTTAGTAGGAATTGAGCCTAGGATGTAGCATTGCATATCGTCAAGTGCTAACCGATTAAACCCGAGCTATTTTCCTACATCCTTAGTGTGCCAGCATACAAGGAAAATAATAACACATGTGTCAATTTTAGGCCTTGATTGTTTAGCCCCACATGATTCCCACTCTAAGATCTTTCATTGTTTGTTGTGCCTTCTCTAGAAAGGCATACTTTCTTGTGCATTAGGAACCTCCTCTTTTTGTACAATTTACTATTATTGTTTGTTGTGGTCTCAGTTGTCATTGTTATTGCCATAATCACTGTATGTTAGGGTTTGGTAGAAGTTGGGTTTTAGCTCTAAAGATGACACAAATAGTGGCCCAAATTTCTTCCTTTTTGATGTACCACAGCATGACAAGTGGCTGTCTTCCCCCAAAGTTCGAAATTTCAAGAACACTCTCGAATAGATTAGGCCTGTTATTAACCAACCATAAACAAAAACTTGGTGGAAGCCCCATTTCAAATCAAATTCCATGGCTTTCCTCTTTCAATCTTGTTTTTTTTGTTGAATCTAGTAAAATCTTGACTGCAAAACTTGCACGCCCGACACTTGTGTATTTCTTATTGCATAGGAGTGGCTTGTTTATTTAATAATAGTCACTTTCCTAAACAAGATAACAATCGGTTTTTGTTCTTTAAATGGTTTAATCCCTGCTCAAAGATTCCTCATTATACCATACAAATTAGAAACTCAAATCAAATTTCAAATTCTTCATGGAATGCATACTCTTGAGTCCACCTAGGTGTTTTCAATGATTTAGGATATCAAAGAAAATTTAAATCATTGGAAATACAATTCCTCAATAAATCTATACTTTGCATCTCAAAAAATAGTGGAAATCTAATGATATGTGAAGAAAGTAAAGGACAGGGTTTCTACGAGTCCATGTAGAAATGAATTACCTTTTAAAATTTTATTTTTGAGATGGATTTTTGGACTTAATTTTTGAGGATATGTAATCTTTAAAATGGAGATCATGAATATGAAAAAATCAATAAATTCTAAAAATTATAAATGATAATTCTATTAAAAAAACATTTGGACCATTAGTTTCAATTGTTTTTAGATGGAACACCTATTTGCATCCATCTTTAAGGTGGATACTTTATACCTTGGGATTCAATATTGTAGAAATATGGTCCAGCCCGCATGAAACAATTTTCCGAAAGTAAAAGTAAAAATGAACTCTGCAACAAAATAAATAAACAATCATTTTTAGATTTAAAAATGTATTTGTTTTACTAGAGTTATGATCACATGGACAAGATTATTGACTGCAAAATCTTGGATCCAAAATTCATCTTGAAAATAGATTCTAGAGGGGGGTGCATATAAGCATGTGTATCGGCTGAGACACAAGAGCTTATCTTACCCTTAACACCAATTTTACTGTATTATACATTTGAAAAAAGGCTTTTATAATTATGATAATACATTTAAACCAATTTGGAAACTATGTAACTATGTCATGTGACTTAATGTTACATAAAGTTGCCCCTTGATTGTCGATCATGGCAGGCATGTCACTGAAAGATTCAAAATCCAGTGTTTTTTAACCAAATCAATCATAGTGCATTTGTTGTTTTTTAACCAAATCAATCATAGTGCATTTGTTGTTTTTTAACCAAATCAATCATAGTGCATTTGTGGTTACTGCTCCACAGTTTATCCATTCCTTTTAATTGAACATCAAAACGCAAAGCAACCTAATATGTGGTGTTTTGATAATGGCAATCTCCTCTTTCTCCTATACTGAATAGCACTCCACCCACCACTGGGAATCCATTAGAATCCTGAAAATTTTCGAGTAAAAAAATAAATATATTGTATATTGTACATGCAGCATAGAAAATAACCTCAACAATCAGATATAGAAAATGGACAGCAAAGATGAATTGTTCATCCACCCAAGCATATATCGAGAAACTCGATGAGAGGAGGATCCAACTTAGTGTTTACTAACATGAGTGTCGGTATCCAGTACGATTGAGTGTCTAGTATATGGGGCCAAAAAGCTACTACTTTTCCAACACATGCATACCACATACAAGAGTAACATAATATACAAGAAAATGTTTACATAGAGTTGAGGCTCTAAACAATCAAATTAGAGTCCACCTCAAATGTTTCACGATAAGAGGTTGTTTTGATGCCCAAATATCCTCAAATTGATCATCTCGACATCAAGATGCGTGGACATGAGAAAAAAAATGGATTTCAAGTTTTGAAAATAGTGCATCTTGTAACGTATTTTTGCACCATCAGTTTTTTAAGATTTTCAAGTTTTCAGAGATCTACTCAATCTACATTATTTTTTAAGCTTTAAATTTTATAATTAAAGATGAAAATATATTTTAATGCTATAAAAAAGATTTCCATTATTGAAACCACATTTCTCGATACTATTTGAAAGTGCGCTTTATTTCCATTGTTTTGAGCCTCGGCTCTATACCAACGGCACCCTAATATAAATACAGATACTTGATAACTACTTTGTGCTGGTGCTCTGGTAGATTGGACTAACTTCTATACTTGAATTATAAGGTTCTATCCCATGGGGTGTATTTTATGTTTAATAATATTAGATAATTTAATAATATATAGTATATGTTGGCACACCAAATAATTGTGACACACTAATTGGTAGATTACATTATGCTCATACTCGTTTGTCATGTTTAGGATTCAAATCCCATGTGCTTGCTTTTCTCTTACAATGTGCATTTATATTATTAAACATTAAAGAGCTTAATAAAAGAAATGAAAATTGTTTCATTAGGGCTGGACCGCATTTTTACTAGGGTGCGGTTTGTATAGTGCCGAAGCTCTAATCAATCAAATTAAAGCCCA